ACGTGTGTGTGTGTGTGTGTGTGTTTTTGTTTGTTGGTTAGTTTTTTTTTTATACTTTACGAAAAAGGAAGAAAATTGTAGCAGAAAAAAAATGTGTTATTGATGGGTACCAGCGGGGCATATATTATTTTTATTTTTATTTTTATTTTTTGTGTGTTCTTTTAACTTGTGTGTTTGTTACTTTTTGTGTAGCGGGTCACTAAGTTGTTTTCTCACACCCGAATGGTTTCGTGGACGCTGCATACCGCTTCATGACGGCGAGGATAGGCATAACTGAATCAAACCTGGGCGATGTGGAAATTGGGAGGAAGCGGGAGATGTGGTCAAAAGTTCAGGAGCAACTGGCGACACATGTTTGTGTTCCACGCACCGTCGGGCTTCTGGAGCAGTACACAGAGGGGGACACAGAGAAGGTGAACTCATTCACTCCTTCCTTTGCGCTTCCGCAAGGTCTTCTGGAGGAATTTGATGCGTCTATTTTACTTGGGCCACAGTTGCGGCGTGACGCTGAGCACCGGAAGACTGTGTTGCCTTTACCTCTCTTGCCGTTGCGTTACGTGGGCGGGGTTGACATCACTTATGTGAAGGGGACAAATCTCGCTGTGGCCTGCCTCGTCATCATGGAGTACCCAGCCATGCGGGTGTGCCGTACAATCTTTCACCAATGCGAGGTGACGGAGCCGTACATACCCGGTTTTTTAGCCTTTCGCGAGGTTGTGCCACTCGTAGAGTTGATAAAAAAGATAAGAGTCGAATCTTGTGAGGAGGAAACGCCTGCTTATCCACAGCTTCTCCTCGTGGACGGCTGCGGAGTACAGCACCCGCTCCGCTGCGGACTTGCCAGTCATGTGGGTGTTATTCTGGATATCCCTACGATTGGCTGTGCAAAAAAGTTTATGGCAGTGGACGGTATGACACGCGAATCAATGCATCTTCTCTTTGAGACCAATGCTGATGATGCACATGAGGCTAAAAAGGAGAGTCTGGCACCTCTTGTGAAACCAATGATTGGGCGGAGTGGTGCGCTGTGGGGCTACGCAGCCACACCAAACCCCAGTGTCAGGAATCCCATTTTTATTTCTCCCGGTCATCGTGTCGGATACGCTGAAGCAGCTGCGTTGGCGCTCTCCATGTGTAAGTACCGCGTCCCTGAGCCCATTCGCGTCGCGGATCTTAGTTCCCGTGATTACATTCGACGCATGAATCTAAGGTGAAGTGAGGCGAATAGTAGGGGTGATGTGCGAGGTGGTGGAAATGTGGGCCGCTTCTGTTGCACCATTAATGCCGGCTTGTACGCGCATACCCTTCCGTGAGTGGTATGAAGAAAGGAAAGGAGAAGAAAGAGCGAAGGAATCGTTTGTACGTTATTGGTTTTAAGTTTATTATTGTTAGGAATGTACCTGAAGAAAAGCGTGCGCCCAGAGTATACCGATTAAATGAATGGGGAATTCGTTCATGCATGTTTTTTTTTTCAACTTATGAGTTAATGTTCTTGTTGTTTTTTAGGTTTTATTAGGCCGACAATTATATATTTTGTCTGTTGAAGTTTTGTTATTATTATTTTTTCCCCTCCATCATAAAACGCTGCCGGTGCACTGTGTGCGAGGGGGACCAGTAATTGTTGGCCACACCAGAGACTTGACACTTTGGCAGTTTATGGCGAGGCCGGTTATTGCGGGATGCCTCATTAGTTAACGTATGCGTTTGTCCGTTGGTAATACAACTTATTTGGGTTGAAGTGCTGGGAGCTATGAGCCAGGCAGTTTCTTTTGTTTTGTTTTTTCTTCATGGAGGCCCACGTTGCAGGCCTTCAGGCACTTATTTCGTCTGTTTTTTTTTTTTCCTTTTTGTAAGAGCAATAACAAATTTAGTGGGTTTAGAAGGGATGATATTTTTGTTTTTTGTGTGTATCACAGGATGGGTTTTCTGGTCCCTTTACGGCTGCTGTGCCTACCGCCACAGGGCGGTTGCAGGGAAAACCGTTCTGATCATTGGTGGTTCCTCGCCGCTGGGGAGGTGCCTCGTCATGCGCTTCCTGCAGCTCGGTGCCAAAGTTATTGTATGGGACGGCGACAAGGGGAGGTTGAATAAGCTTGTGGAGGAGTTCGGCCCTACCAACCCAAATCAAGATGAGGAGGGGGAATGCACACTAGGTGATGACACACATTTGACCCCGAAGATGATGGAGACGTGCAAGGATGAGCAGTTTTCGATGAGTGTTGTTGATTTGGCAAGCCGCGTTCAACTGCAACGTGCAGCAAAACGACTGGGGTCTGTACATATCATTGTGAATGCTGCAGATTTGTGTGGTTCTAGACATTTTTTTGATCGAAGCGATGAGTCCAGTGAAAGAATTTTGTTGAGCAATGCTCTGTGCTCAATCGTTCTTGCTAGGGCATTGTTACCAGGGATGCTGCAGCAGAAGGATGGCCACTTTGTCACCATCACCAGTGCAGCAGGGGTGATGGGGAACGCCAAGCATCCTGACTATGCTGCCTCACACTGGGCCTCTGTTGGGGCACACGAAAGCTTACAGCTACTGATTAGAGAGATGAAAGGAAGCAGAAACGTGCGCACAACGCTTTGTTGCTCTTTCAGTAGCTTTCGAGCCGCCTCAACGGTGCCACGTTTTTCATTTGTTGATGAGAATCAATTGGTGGATGAAAAAAAAAACTAACGTCCTCCACTGACAGGCTGCTCTCTCCATTTTCCTTTTGGTCACGTTCCACCACCCTTGAAGATGTGGCGGATAGCTTCATTTGGGCGATATGCCATGGCGTGGAGCGGGTTTACATTCCAGGCACGTTGGTGTTCTTACCGTTGCTTCGTGTGCTTCCCGTGCCGTGGTTTATGGCGATGGTTTCTCAGCCCACGCCCGGGAATCTGCGATCCAACTGGTGAGTCCCACACGCTGCCTCTCACATCAAATCCAACTAGTAAGAACAAGCGAGAATGCTTTGTTGACGGATGTAGTTTTATTTGCAGGGTTGTTGTTTGGCTTTCTGTGCGGTGTACGCGCGTTTCTCTACTTTACATCCCGTTTGTATTTCAAAAAGTGAATAAGTAAATATTTTTGCTGTTCTTGCATGATTGTTTTCCCCCTTTACTTACTTCTCACACGATTGGAAGAAAACGCAAGACAGCAAGGAAGAAAAGCGGAAATTGTCTGCTTCGCCTCGAACGCATGGCGTCCTGGTATGTGTTAGAACCCTCGGTGATGTCGACACGCGCTGTAAACAGACTGGAGAGTGTTTCAACACGCAAGTCGAAAGCACCGGCACACAAATCTCAACTTAAACTTTCCATTGGCGATCCCACACATGACGGCAATCTTGTGGCGCCTACTGTCGTGGTCGACGCTTTTGTGCGGTGCGTGGAGGGTAACCAGCACAACAAGTATCCACCTGTGGCGGGTTTGCCTGAGGCACGTCAGGCGGTGGCGGAGTATTGGGGGAAAAACTTTGCGGAACAACAGGCAGCGCACTGCAAGGCGGAAAATGTTTTAATTTCATGTGGCGTGTCGCATGCTCTTGTCATGGCTTTGACGGCATTGTGTGATGAGGGGGACAACATACTTGTCCCGATGCCCTGTTTTCCTTTTTATGACTTTATGTCTGATATCCATGCAGTTGAGGCGAGGCATTATCGTTGTAAGGAAGATGGTAACTGGGAGATTGACTTTGATCATTTGCGAAGCCTTGTTGATGGTAAGACGAAGGCGATTTTGGTGAACAATCCCTCTAACCCGTCTGGCAGTAACTTTTCGCGGCAACACATTGCGGAGCTTATCCGTGTGTGTGAGGAACTGCGTCTCCCGCTGATTTCGGATGAGGTCTACGCGGGACTGGTGTTTTCCGGTGAAGCGTTTACCTCCGTGGCGGCATTTGACACGCACGTGCCGCGCTTCATTCTGAGCGGCCTTTCAAAGGTGTTTATGATCCCTGGATGGCGCCTTGGCTGGGTCCTTCTCATGGACACACACGGCTACGCCAAGTCTGTCGTGCGTGGGATGCTGAACCTCTGCTCCATAACGCTGGGCCCATGTGCATTGGTTCAAGGGGCACTACCAGCGATTTTGTCCCAGACACCGGAGTCGTACTTTGCGCGAAACATTGAGGAGCTGCGTGAGAATGCGATTTGTCTTGCTGATGCGATACAACACTCTCCCGGCCTGTCGTGCACAGTGCCGCAGGGATCGATGTTTATCATGGTGAAGGTCAACACCGACCTCTTCGAAGACATCAAAGATGACTTTTCCTTTTACGAAAAGCTAGAGGATGAAGAGAATGTGCAGGTGGTCCCTGGAGAGTTCTTTCACATGCATGGCTACTTCCGCGTCGTTGTGTCGCGCCCAAAAAAGGTTGTGGTTGAGGTCGCTGCACGCATTCATAACTTTTGCGAGCGACACAAAAAGCGCGATGGGGCGGAAGGAAGAAGCAGCAAATAGAAGCAAAAAAAAATAAAGAGGTAAGCTGAACCTTATCGGGGTGCGGTAAACCGAGGATGTCTGTGGTGGTGGGGGGGAGGGAGAGGGAGAAGGCAATGGTGAAGCAAACAGGACTGGCGCCAAAGGAAGGTGCGTAAGTATGCAGACATTCTGGTGCGTAGGGACACAAAGTGCTCCCGGACCCCGCTGTGAACGGGGGAGGGGGTGCTGCGGAAACATAATTTTGTGGACCTACCCACGACGTGTTGGTGGTGGTGTTTTGCTTCTTTGGTCGGTTTTCCACTTGGTGTATTTGCCGATGGATTGCAGTTTCACCAAAAGCCGCCGCCACCATGACTATATTCTTTGTTTTGATTCAGATGTTTTTTTTTTCTTTTTTATATTGCCGTTTTTGTGTTTTTGTTTTATTTTTCAAAGATATTATTTACACGTTACAGTTCAACCTGTAATAAGTATATGTACATGTGTAAATCTTTTTTTGTTGTAAACACATGCCGGAGAATGTTGCGGTCTCGCTCGCCCACTTTGTGTATGAGCGTGTAGGTATGCACATATGTGGTTTGGCGGATGTGTCATACCGCTATAACGAATATATTGATGTCAGTTGGCGTAGGTATTTCTCACGCTGAATGGGTGGCGAGAGAGGAAGGACATAGCAAAACAGGGGAGAGGGGGGAACGATTAAGGGAAGGAAGGAATAGAAGTATTTGACCGAGAAGTATGACACCACGCTGGATTACACGAGCTTAACATCACAATTGCATTTTTTTTTGCACACCGCCTCGTATTCCGCCTTTTTTTTTTTCCTCTCTCTTCTCTTTGATACACACAACTGTGCTGAGGAATAAAAAGAGCATTTATTGGAAAAGAAACAGGCAAAGGCTGTACTTCATATAAAGTCATCCCGCTACCGTGCGTCGGGATCAGAGTATACTTATCTGTGTTTTACACGTGCTACAAGCTTGGAATAAGGACTGAAAAGTGGT